CCCCAAAACCCCAAAACCCCAAAACCCCAAAACCCCAAAACCCCAAAACCCCAGGGAATCTTATAATTTTGAATAAAATTCATAACAATGTCACTAAAGAGCATTTCCCCTGTTCCAGACGTAAGATGTCTTCATCAATGATGGCTGAAAGGTTTCTTTATCCTTTCCAAATTCGAAATGAGTGCTTTTAGCATGTTTAAAGTTCTGATCAGCCAGCTTTCTATAAAATAAAACCCTCAGATTACTTCATTACTTGAACCTCATTTAATCTTTTCTGCTGAAACTTCTCTTTAAGGGAGGCTATCCAAGCTTCTTGGGGATCCATTTCTTCCTGTGGGTCATTAACTTCTTTAATCACTGGCATACTTTTGCTAAAATATGAAATTAGCGTTAACTTTATAATATAGATCAAGAAAAACAACTGTAGTCCTATCGACAAGTAATCTTTGCTAAATGACCATGATAGACGAGATAGTTCCAAACTAGAGATACTTAACTTAATTAGGGTAGATTCTGAAAGAACTCTAACCGTAATGAGTTATATGGGAATAGATCCAGATGTTGACCTCCAGGTCCTTCACTACAAAGATTTCATATCATATGGTCTCACTCCACAAATAGTGAAAATGAGATACCAGGCTTATGTTGATAGAATTGTAGAAACAGTAGAAGAAATTATTCACAGGAGAAATCAGCTTCTTAGCACAGTTGGAAAATAAAGTTCGAAGAACAAAATTCACTCCAACTAGCACAGGAGGATTTATTCATCCAAGTAGGCTATTTTTAAAGCATTCTAGAACTACAAAAAGAAATTGAAAAAGCGACTAAATCTCGCCAAATAGCTATGAATAAAAAGACATTGAAATCTCAAAGTCCAAAGAGTTGGAAGTCATCAGCCAAGATAAAATGTAAGTATAAGTACTCCTATCTATAGCAAGTGGTAATAATTAATCTATACCCCATTAGGAACCTATCAAAGCTCAAATTACCAAAACACTCTTTCAGAGAAGAAATCTGACCAGGTAAAAACTATGAGAGAGAAGCAAAACAAAATTCTTGACAGAGAATTCGGCCTCCTGGCGAATAAGGCTAACCTAAAAGAACTAGAAGCGAAGAAAATCAAGAAAATTAGGAACAAGATCAAAGCAAAAGAGGAAAAATTTAAAGAACAACTTCTTAAGAATGAAGATGAAATCAAATATAAAAATTTTAAGAAGGAAAAGGTACACTACGCACCTAATTTTAGACAAATAAAAGAATAATGGATAACCAGAAGCAACTAAAGAACTCACAGATGATGACGGCTAGGACTATTTTCCAAAGCTTTATGTCCCAGCCAAAGAGTGAACCAAAAGCGATGTCTCCCCGCCCAGCTTCAGTGCAGCATTTCAAGGATAGTGACGATGAAGCTCTTGAAGACTACGATAATAAACATTATAGAGCAATGGCTCATAAAGCTCAGAACTACTTAAGGACTATCCAAAGAATAGCAGATGCTAATACTGAAAAGGAAGAGAAGGCTAGAAGGATCAGGGAGCAGAACTCTTTGGAGGAAAATGATCTCACAGGAATAATCAGCATGATAAAGAAGCAAAAATAGAGCAAGACTCATTGCCAAAGATGAACAATACAATAAATAGAACCAAATGGAGCGAACGTAACTCAAAAGTTTATATTAATGTTCAAGCCAAAAAGAAGCTATTAGAACAAGAGGTAATAGTGGCCATCTAACCTTGTAGGAGAGAATTAGACTAAATATGCTTAGGAGACGTCCAAAAACCCAAATGACAAGGACTGCTAGACCAGTTGAGACAAAAGAAAATCTCATGCTTAAATAAAGAAATGGAGAGAATAAAGGAAGAAAAGCGCAAAATGATTTGTGAAAGAGAGCAAAGAAAGCTTGAGTATAAAAAATTACAAGTTATCAATAAAGCTAACAAGATTGAGGCTAACTTCCAGAAGAGAAAAGAGCTATTGCAGAAGAACCAGGAAGCCATTACCAAGATCAACACTGAATACTGTATCTTTAGAGATAAGTGGAACGAACAGTACGAGGGAAGAATGAAGTATAAATCTTAATTCATCTAAATTCATAAATTTTGAAACCACTCGCCTGGGTCTGTACAGCTAGGGTTCACTTACCATTTATAAAAGTTCTGAGAGGTCTTGGATTTTGAAGGAATTTGATGTCCCAACTAGAGATTTTAATTAGAATATACCTTAAAATGTGTCTTGGTAAACTCTAATGTAGTCATCATGGGAGTTTCACGTAGTCTATCAGTCTTAGTAAGCTTAGGAGTATCGTTAAATTTAACTCTATGTGGCTCAGTGCAGTCAAAATTATCGGTGTTAATATCTGATTTAAATGTGAAATTTTCTGTATCTTCTCTTCTCTTAAAGAACTTTCTGAGGGGTTCTTCTTCGTCTTCCTCTTCATTATGTTTAATATGTATCCATTGCTCTCCTTTATTTTCCCTTCAGGAACTCTCTATTAACCGAGTTGACATTGTCTTCTTTCTCACCAAGCTTATAGTGTGTATCAAGTAGGTCTTCCTTTCTTTCCTTGTTTAATGTATTTGCCTTTAAGAACTCATTAAAGCTCATTCTGATCATCGATTTACTCTTAGCCTTGAAGAACTTAGCATGACAGGAATTTCTCATTTTTGTATCTACATTTGGTGGGAAATGTGTAACTTTGTTATCATCAATTTCAACGATTTTCTTATTTCTCTTATTTTCATTGCTAAACCTTAATTTGTTGAAAATACTCTCTCTCAATTTTATCTTCTTCAAGTTTATCAAATATGGATCTCTTCAGATTAGGGATTCCATCAATCAAGTCATCTTGCAGATTTTTGGCTAAAAATTATTGTGAGAATAATAAAACCATACTTCCAAATATTTTGTAATTGCCAAGGGAGAACTTGGCCTTGCCAAAGATCTTTCTGTATCTCTGGTGTGTCCTACATTGGCGTTAAGCAGGGGCTTACTTGTCAGCTTCAAAGTATTTCTGTCTAGGAATAAAGCTTTCCTTCATTGATGATCTGAAGAATGGAGACCTCATCTCTAATCTATTTGCTTTCATATCTATTGATGTGAAGTATTTATCGATTCTGGGCGTTAATATCTTCTGACTCTCACTTCTTCTAAGTCTTTCTACTCCTGGCTTGAATGAGTTCAACCAATTTTTAGGGCGTTTCCATGAAGTAATCAGAGCTTTCTTGAGATCAGACTGTAAGTTTGAGTGGTGTAATGGATGTGGCTGGTTTTTAAAGTAAAAATTTACCTTGCTAGTGTCAAAATTTGCCCTTCTATTCACCATTTCAATTTGCTTTTGTGTGAAGGTAGAAGAAACCGTTGTATCATATCTTTTGATCTCCTTTTCATTGGTTTTTATTCTAATAACACTATGATTCTTGAACTTATTCGGATTCCCTTCAACTTTAACTTGCAATTTTTGAGGCTTTCTTCCAACTTGTTTCCATGCAAATAATCCTCCTGAGCTAGAACTAGTTTTTACAGCACTGTTTATATCATCTCCGACTGTTCTCTGGGTTTTTGGACCTTTAAGATAAAAATAAATATCTAAAACCTCAAGACTATTCTAAAAGTTGGAATCTCACTTACCCTCATCTTTGATATCAGGCCAGACAAATCCATGCAAATTTTGCTGATGTTCAAATCCAAAGCTATGAATATTTTTATTTATGGATGATCTTCTTGCCAACAGTATTTCTTCCCATAGTCTCTTTATAAAGCTTCAGGAACTTCTCTTCATCAGTGGTCTGGTCACCCAGATCAATGTGATGTTTTGTTTTATACTCTATAACTTTATTGTGATGGTTCAGGAAAGCCTTAGAGCCTAAGATATCAGTCTCTTTCTTAGATTCAATCCTATACCAATATTATATCAGTTATGCTGCAGACCTCTGGGGTGGTGACCCAGAGATAATTCAAGTTTAAAAAGTACTTACTTAGCAATGTTCTTCTGTTTGGATGCCATTTTATATCAACATAAAAAATAAAACGGGGTTTTGGGGTTTTGGGGTTTTGGGGTTTTGGGGTTTTGGGGTTTTGGGG